ATTTTACAATGTAGAAAATAGTAAAAATAAAGAAAACCCTTGAATGAGTAGGTGTGTCCAAACTTTTGACTGGTACTGTATATCACAAGGCCTTTTTTTGAAGGCCTAGTTACACCCTAACACAGTGCTCTGAAACCCTGGGTTTACAGGCCACATTAAGCCTGCAAGTCACATTATGCTGGCTTGCAAAGTGATGTGTAATTCCTATTGAAATCCAGCCAGAGTGAGGATATCCAACAATTGGAACTTTTAATCATCCGTAACCTGCATTGAGAATGACTGGGATAGGGAAAACCATTTTGGTTGCATAAACTGCTAAATATTTTGATGTGCAATTTGGAATTTTAATTTGGGAGCACTAGTGCGCCTAGAAAAATAATCTGCCAGATAATAATTATTCTAATGATTAGGCTTCGCTGTACCGCAGTTTCCAAATGCAGATTCGTGACCGTGGTGGTTGCACCATTGCTACAAAGAGAACCACCTGTCTCTAGCCCAAACCGTTCAAAAGTTGTGAACATATTACCAGCGCTATGTTTTTTCTCCTCTGTTAGCACCGTGGATGCATCTCCATTGGCGGGCCATAAACCATGTTGCGGGCCGTTAACACCTTGTTTAGTCATGTTACCTCATTAGTTAGCTAGGTACCAACATGGTAACTTTACCAGTAGATCCCAAAACATTGGGCACAGAAAGAATGGTAAAGGGATAGCTCCTTCAGGAGATCAATGATCAGAGCAATGAAGAAATGATACATTTGCATGTCCTCACACAAACTTGACATCCTTAAAGAGACAGTGTACAATTTAATGTATTGCGTCTAATTTGCATGTTGACAAACACAAAGGTAACATTCTTAAAGAGAAGGTGTGCAATTTTCAATGTAATGCTTCTCAATAGGAAACAGTGCTTTTTACACAATGTAGAAATATAATATTCCACAAATTACTTTTTCAATGACAGTTATTTTTATCAACATTTTATTTTTTATAATAAACAAATGTCTTTAACAGGGTTACATATACATTTTTAGGGCACAACGTCCTTCAAAAGTAGCTAAAATGCATATAGGCCCAATAAAGGCTGTATCTCAATCAATTTAAAAATCTTGTTTTCTGGAGCTCCTAAATTTTGTGGTGCTCTTAACTTTTTTTTAGGTTGGGAGCACCAGTGCTACCAATGAAACATTTTCATTTAGAGCCCTGACTGCAGTGGTAAATGGTAGTGACTGGTTATAGTTGAAAAAGTAGGTAGATGGAAAGATGGATTGATTGATAGGATAGGATAGCTTGAATATGTGAAAGCTGGTTTTGTGTATCTAGCTTGAACGGTTCAAGAGTTACTATTATTGTTGGTGGGTTATTATATGCTAATTTATGCTAAATTGAATTGTTATAGTTTATAACATTTTGAAAATGTTAAAGTTATTTTAATATTTGCGCTCAAATGGCTAAAGAACAGTAGCATTTGAAATGTCTACCACTGTGTTCCAAAGGTTGCCATTGAATCCACTATTTATGCTGATTTATGCTAATTAAAATTATATATAGTTTATAAAGGTGATAGAGAATTTGAAGTTAGGATAGCCAGACTGTTTTTAAGGTTGGTCTTGTAGCTTAAATGGTAACCACTGTATGTCTATGGTTCTCAAAGTACAAATAGTATAAACAATCTGAAAAAAAGCAACCTAAGTTGGGTCAGTCTGCACATTTCAACATTGGTTTGGTGTTGATAGCTTAAACGGTTCAAGAATGTTAATTTAGTTAAATACATTTTATTTTAATTTGTCACGTACACAGTTTACAGCGTGTTGAGACATTTGTTGAGTCAGGGTGTGTATTTTCTGTGTTGTGTTGTGCTATGTTGATTTTCTATGTTAGATCTAGTATGTGTAGATCTATGTTGGCCGGGGTGGTTCCCAATCAGAGGCAGCTGTAGCTCGTTGTCTCTGATTGGGAACCATACTTAGGCAGCCTATTGGCACTAGTGTGTTGTGGGATCTTGTTCCGTGTTTAGGTATGTTTGTTTTGTGTACCTTGGACTTCACGTTTTGTTTGTTGTTTTGTCATTGAGTTTATTCGGAAAAATAAACATGTACGCATATCACGCTGCGCCTTGGTCCGTCCCGTCTATAAACGATCGTGACACGTGTATAAAAGGTGCAGTGAAATGCTTGCGTGCTAGCGCCCTCAACATTGCAGTACAATAATCAGTATCATAAAAAATATCTATTCATTAGAAGGTAGTACTGTATGCAAAGTGATGGGTTCTGACTTCTAAACTTGAAATATTGTTAATCATCAGTTACCCTATAGAAAAGAGGAGTGCCATAGTCTGGTTTATGCACCAGATGTGAATGGTTATCTGTAGGAGGAATGTATATGGTGGGGTTAATTAAGGTTGGATAGGAGCCAAGGGGCTTTGGAATGTACTGAGTAAAGGAGAGGTAATCACATGATTAGTCACTGATAAGGGTGGAGAGCTGTGGATTAGTGAGGAATGGGGTAGATGTCAGGTCACATTAAGGGAGAAGGAGCAGTTTATTACCCACATCACTTAACGTCCTGCATAGCAATAAACATGTAATGTTTAGAGGGAAGGAGGATACTTCACCCAATTAGGGGTATACTGTATATATTTGTGCTGGTGGAAATGTGTCTTTGTCTGTGCAGCTGTCTGACCCATTGGGCGAATAGTTAAATAAATAGTATATAATAGAACAGCGGCGTTGAATGTGTGTGTGTGTTTGTTTATGTGTGCTTGTGTGTGTTTATGTGTGCTTGTGTGTGTTTATGAGTGCTTGTGTGTGTTTATGTGTGCTTGTGTGTGTTTATGAGTGCTTGTGTGTGTTTATAAATGCTTGTATGTAAGGGTTGATTCTGTGAGGAGTCAGTGCAAGTAGTCTCTAAGGTGCAGGTCTGAGCAGGTAGACAGCTAGGGTTAGCTGTTCAGCAGTCTGATGGCCTGGTGATAGAAGCTGTCTTGGAGCCTGTTGGTCAGGGACACAATGTTCTGATACCACTTGCCAGATGGTAACGGAGTGAACAGTCCGTGGCTCTGGTGACTGGAGTCCTTGACGATCATCCGGGCCTTTCTCATACACCGCCTGGTGTAAATGTCCTGAAGGGCAGGGAGCTCGCCCCCAGTGATGAATTGGGCCGTCCGCACCACCCTCTGTAGAGCCTTGCAGTTGATGGCGGTGCAGTTGCCATACCAGGCAGTGATACAGCCGGTCAAGATGCTCTCGATGGTGCAGTTGTAGAACTTCTTGAGGATCTGAGTGCCCATGCCAAATTTCTTCAGTCGCCTGAGATTGAAGAGCTGCTGTTGCGCCTTCTTCACCATGGTGTCTGTGTGATTGGTCCATGTCAGGTCCTCTGTGATGTGCGTGAAGAGGAACTTGAAACTTTTGACCCTCTCCACTGTAGCCACGTTGATGCAGATGGGGGCATGCACATCCCCTTGTTTCCTGTAGTCCGCGGTCAGTTCCTTGGTTTTGAGGGACGTTGAGGGAGAGGCTGTTTTCCTGGTACTACTCTGCCAGGGCTCTAACCTCCCTGTAGGCTGTCTCGTTGCCGTCGGCAATCAGGCCCACCACCGTTGTATCGTCGGCTAACTTAATGATGGAGTCGTGTGTAGAGGGAGTACAAGAGGGGGCTGAGCACACACCCCTGGGGGACCTCCATTTTGAGAGTCAGCGTGGCGGAGGTGTTGTTGCCTCCCCTCCTCACCCGGGGTCTGCCTGTCAGGAAGTCCAGGATCCAGTCACAGAGGGAGGTTCAGACCCAGGGCCATGAGCTTAATGACGAACTTGGAGGGGACTATGCTGTTGGAAGCTAAGCGCTAGTCAATGAACAGCATTCTCACGTAGGTATTCCTCATCCAGGTGGGATAGGGCAGTGTGCAGTGTAATGGTGATTGCGTCGTCCATGGATCTGTTGGGTCGGTATGCTAATTGTAATGGGTCCAGGGTGTCAGGTAAGGTAGAGCTGATGTGGTCCTTAACCATCCTCTCAAAGCACTTCATGATGACAGAGGTGAGGGCTGCAGGGCGATAATCATTTAGGCAGGTTACCTTTGTTTGCTTGGTTACAGGGACAATGGTACACATCTTGAAGCATGTGAGGAAACTATTACATATTCTCTCCGCCACATGGCAAAATTAGTAGAATTGCATGAAATTAGTTTTAAAACTGCAATGTATAGAATTGCAGAAAATATACTTTAACATGGCAAAAAAAACACTGGGCACAGTTGTTAATTCAATGTATATTCCACATTGGTTCAACGTAATTTCATTGAAATGACGTGGAAACAACGTGTATTCAACTAGTGTGCGCCCAGTGGGAAAATTATCCACTGCCAAGAGGGGGTGGCACTAAAATGTTTTGCCTGCTAGGTGAGGCTGCCCCCCAACCAAATATCGCTTAGGGCCCCCAAAAGGCTAGGGGCCTCTCATGGAACAGATGTCGTCATCAACCCATGGATTTTCCATTTTATTTATTTGGTCATAATAAATAATGCCACGTGGTGAAGAATAAATAAGTAGCCAAAATATTTGAGAAAATGATTGTCTTCTTTCTCTGTATATGAGTCAGCAGGAGACAGATTTTGCATCTCTATTCTTCCTCTCAATGTAAGCAGGTGCCTCTATTCTGGCAGACCACATTGAGCTCTTCATTACCCATTCTATATCCTCCTCCATTTGATGTCACACTGGGTGACTCAGAGCTGTCAGAGCTGTCGCCTACAACAGCGAGAAGTACTTTCTAGTAAGCACTCTCGAAATAGCACATTAGTTAATTGTTAATTGATGTAGGCTCTTCTCCCAAATGCAGTTTAGACAGGGACGCATAGGTAGGATTGGGGGTGAGATGAGGTAGCGGATCAGCGACGGAGGCTGGGAATGGATTAGCGGAGTTCCAATTCTTAATAAAGGTAATTGGATTAAAGTGGTTCTGGTTCAAATTGGAGGTATGGACAGCGGTCCAGCATTCGATCGCAAGTAAACAGCGATATCGGATCTCCTTTACCTTTTTCACTGGAAGTAAGGACACTAGAAACAAACAGCTAAGATGCCAGTTGATCTGAATGGGTATTGGAAAATGATCTCCAATGACAACTTTGAGGAGTACATGAAAGCCCTCGGTGAGTTGTTCCAGCATCTTTCATGGAGTTTTGGTGTGTGGGGACTCGAAAGTGCCGATGCTCGAGGTTACTGGCACTGCGCTCTGCGGTCAATATTTGCGCTCTAGGCATCAATCAAAACCTAAACCAGACATTTTAGCTAACATTACCACAATTAATATATTGACAAATATAGAGGACTATAGCTCAAAATTGGTTTATGAGCACTGGTAGATACTTACTGTTAATGACACATTGGTTGTAACTTTGAATCCTCTCAAATTTTTATTTAAAAAAAATCTTATTTTCAAAGGATGTCTAAAAAGAGGTCAAGATTTACTGCGTTGGATCCAGTTATAGTTTGGATCCTACTGAATAGTGCCTACTTTTCACTTAACTTAGTTTTTTGTTTTTAATAGAGTTAAAGGGGTTAGGAGAGAATGAGTGATGTTTGGGAAGCCTTACTGGTCATCAGTATTAAACTCTCTTTCTCTTCTTTCCATGGGGACCCATCCATCACACAGATGTAAATGTTGCCATTAGGAAAATTGCCAACTTGTTGAAGACCGACAAAGACATCAGTGTTGATGGTGACCACATGGTCATCAAGACCCTCAGTACATTTAAGAACTACAACATGGATTTCCACGTTGGCAAGGAGTTTGAGGAGGATCTGTCAGGGGTGGATGACAGAAAATGCATGGTGAGTCTGTTGTTGTACATTCAAACTAAATTTTTATTGGGTCAAAACATCTTCCTGGATATAGACTGCATGGTAACAAGGAGTAAATGTGATGTCTCGGTATGATTTGATCAATCAAATGCCCTCTCAGATTCGAATGGCAGTCGTTATGTGCTTACCCACACCTGACTGAGGTAAGACTGTGAATACAAGGGGCCTTGAGTTGACATTGAGGGGGGAAACGGTCGTTTGCTGCTTCAGAGGGAATCAGCTGAATAAGGCTAAAGACGCCTGAGTGCTGGGGAACACTTATGCCTATAGGGCCAAGCCGAGCTGCACTAAGCTAGCCTGGTTGAGCATCCACCATAGTTGCTGGAACTGCTTAAAAGGACAGCGTGAAAGGAAACATATCCAAGCCAGCACAGTACAGTTTGGGTCGGCCTCAGTGTGAATCAGGCTAGTCAGGATCTCTGAGAACTGATTATGATCTGCATATTCTTCGCCCCAAAAAGAACTGCCCTTGTAAGCTTGTAGACTTAACTGATTATGATCTGCATATTCTTCGCCCCAAAAAGAACTGCCCTTGTAAGCTTGTAGACTTAATCCAAGCCCATTATATGCTGACTAGATCGGGCACGTGCGTGCGTCCTTGTGTGCCATCGTGCACATGCTGATTTTGTCCATCCACACCAGACGCGATCAGGACACCCAGGTTGAACTCTGAACCAACTATATTCATTTGGGGACAGGTCGAAACACATGAAACATTCATGGCCATTTATCTAGCTAGCTTGCTGTTGCTAGTTAATATGTCCTGGGATATAAACATTGGGTTGTTATTTTACTTCAAATGCACCAGGTCATTTTTTTCTGGATCTTTGTAGAATTTTGACCCATTTTGAGTCACACAAAAACGTGTGTTCTCTACTCCGACAATTAATCCACAGATAAAAGGGCAAACCTAGTTAGTTTCTAGTAATCGCTCCTCTTTCAGGAGTATTCTTCTTCTTCTGTGGACTTTATATGGCGGTTGGAAACCAACTTAAAGGTGCATTACCACCACCAACTGGACTGGAGTGTAGACCTCAGTTCATCTTTCAATCACCAACGCCCAATGAGGAGATGGGAGAGGCGGGACTTGCAGCGTGTCAAGCTTCAAAAATAGAACTAAGTTACACTACTGATCAAAAGTTTTAGAACACCTACTCATTCAAGGGTTTTTCTGAATTTGTACTATTTTCTAAATTGTAGAATAATAGTGAAGACATCAAAACTATGAAATAACACAGTAGTGGTTTCTTTGCAGCAATTCGACCATGAAGGCCTGATTCACACAGTCTCAGCTGAACAGTTGATGTGGAGATGTGTCTGTTACTTGAACTCTGTGAAGCATTTATTTGGGCTGCAATTTCTGAGGCTGGTAACTCTAATGAACTTATCTTCTGCAGCAGAGGTAACTCTGGGTCTTCCATTCCTGTGGCGGTCCTCATGAGAGCCAGTTTCATCATAGCGCTTGATGTTTTTTGCGGCTGCACTTGAAGAAACTTTCTTCTGTACACCCCCCCTACCTTGTCACAACACAACTGATTGTCTCAAATGTATTAAGAAGGAAAGAAATTCCACAAATTAACTTTTAAGAAGATCCCCTGTTAATTGAAATAACTACCTCATGAAGCTGGTTGAGAGAATGCCAAGAGTGTGCAAAGCTGTCATCAAGGCAAAGGGTGGCTATTTGAAGAATGTCAAATAAAAAATATATTTTGATTTGTTTAACACGTTTTTGGTCACTACATGATTCCATATGTGTTATTCCATAGTTTTGATGTCTTAACTATTATTCTACAATGTAGAAAATAGTAAAAAATAAAGAAAAACTCTGGAATGAGTAGGTGTCTAAATTTTTGGACTATATATTTTGGCACCTGGCTACGCAGACAAGCAGTTTGGATTAAATGATTGAATAACATATGTGTAAATGCATTTTGTAACACGAGCAGTGTGGTCATCATGTTATCCATCACCTTGTGCTCTGCTGCGAGTAGGCTACAATCAGGGAATGAAATAACGTAATCTGTTATTGACCAATGGGCCAACTATATAATGTTGTACCTTACGATTTGTGAGTCCAATTCATAAAGACTTTATTATACCTTTATGACTATTTATACAGTTGACTGCTGACTTGTTTATGCCATGAAAGAGCTGGTGTGTATAATATCTGGTCAGTATTGTGTATATATAGTCATAATGACTTAGCACTAGGAGAACGCTACTAGGAGAACGCTCCTGTTGGTATGAATATGAACTGGCTTGGTGTAGTGTTTTGAAAATGCTGATGGGTAGAATGATTCATATCAAAATGGTTGACTCTCTGTGGAGTAGCTGGTTGTGATAACAGTACAGGCACTGACCTGTATATAACTGCATTCTCATGTTTCTCATTTTTTTTTGGGGGGGGGGGGATTTCTCATTTTTCTTATCGGTATTGTTACCTTATTGTGCATTGTTGGGAAAGAGCTTGCAACTTAAGCATTTCACTGTACTGTTTTACACCTGCTGTATCCGTGACTTCAACAACATGGGAAGAAGATCTCATTCAAGTCCTTTAGCATATTATTTTCTCCATCATGAAACAGTAAACTCAACAAAATGCATATGTTTGCTATGCTGAGAAAAGTGTGTGTTTGTTTGCAAGCTTCTGTTTGCATGTGTGTTCCCTGTAAGTTGTTCTACATACACAGTGAGGGAAAAAAGTATTTGATCCCCTGCTGATTTTGTACATTTGCCCACTGACAAAGAAATGATCAGTCTATAATTGTAATGGTAGGTTTATTTGAACAGTGAGAGACACAATAACAACAAACAAATCCAGAAAAACGCATGTCAAAAATGTTATGAATTGATTTGCATTTTAATGAGAGAAATAAGTATTTGACCCCCTCTCAATCAGAAAGATTTCTGGCTCCCAGGTGTCTTTTATACAGGTAACGAGCTGAGATTAGGAGCACACTCTTAAAGGGAGTGCTCCTATTCTCAGTTTGTTACCTGTATAAAAGACACCTATCCACAGAAGTAATCAATCAATCAGATTCCAAACTCTCCACCATGGCCAATACCAAAGAGCTCTCCAAGGATGTCAGGGACAAGATTGTAGACCTACACAAGGCTGGAATGGGCTACAAGACCATCGCCAAGCAGCTTGGTGAGAAGGTGACAACAGTTGGTGCGATTATTCGCAAATGGAAGAAACACAAAATAACTGTCAATCTCCCTCGGCCTGGGGCTCCATGCAAAATCTCACCCCGTGGAGTTGCAATGATCATGAGAACGGTGAGGAATCAGCCCAGAACTACACAGGAGGATCTTGTCAATGATCTCAAGGCAGCTGGGACCATAGTCACCAAGAAAACAATTGGTAACACACTACGCCATGAAGGACTGAAATCCTGCAGCGCCCGCAAGGTCCCCCTGCTCAAGAAAGCACATATACAGGTCCGTCTGAAGTTTTCCAATGAACATCTGAATGATTCAGAGGAGAACTGGGTGAAAGTGTTGTGGTCAGATGAGACCAAAATCGAGCTCTTTGGCATCAACTCAACTCGCCATGTTTGGAGGAGGAGGAATGCTGCCTATGACCCCAAGAACACCATCCCCACCGTCAAACATGGAGGTGGAAACATTATGCTTTGGGGGTGTTTTTCTGCTAAGGGGACAGGACAACTTCACCGCATCAAAGGGACGATGGACGGGGCCATGTACCGTCAAATCTTGGGTGAGAACCTCCTTCCCTCAAACTAGGGCATTGAAAATGGGTCGTGGATGGGTATTCCAGCATGAAAATGACCCAAAACACACGGCCAAGGCAACAAAGGAGTGGCTCAAGAAGAAGCACATTAAGGTCCTGGAGTGGCCTAGCCAGTCTCCAGACCTTAATCCCATAGAAAATCTGTGGAGGGAGCTGAAGGTTCGAGTTGCCAAATGTCAGCCTCGAAACCATAATGACTTGGAGAAGATCTGCAAAGAGGAGTGGGACAAAATCCCTCCTGAGATGTGTGCAAACCTGGTGGCCAACTACAAGAAACGTCTGACCTCTGTGATTGCCAACAAGGGTTTTGCCACCAAGTACTAAGTCATGTTTTGCAGTAGGGTCAAATACTTATTTCCCTCATTAAAATGCAAATCAATTTATAACATTTTTTACATGCGTTTTTCTGGATTTTTTTACTGTTATTCTGTCTCTCACTGTTCAAATAAACCTACCATTAAAATTATAGACTGATCATTGCTTTGTTAGTGGGCAAACGTACAAAATCAGCAGGGGATCAAATACTTTTTTTCCCTCACTGTATGGTCGTGCACACTCTGTGTGTGTGTGTGTAGGTGGGTCATGTTCCTAACTGACAGTAGAATGCATAATGGTGTCTCTCCTCTCTTCCCGTAGACCACTGTCTCATGGGAGGGGGACAAGCTGGTGTGTGTTCAGAAGGGAGAGAAGGAGGGCCGAGGCTGGACCCATTGGGTGGAGGGAAATATGCTTTATTTGGTAAGAGAGTCTATTCATTCATTTCATTTGAATGCAAGTCTACTTCCTCAGTTCCTGATTTCACTTTTTGTCACAACAGATCTCAGATCAGGTGATTTAAAACATGTATATAAAAAGATAGGCTATAGAAAAAAATAGCAGAGATGAAAACTCCAGTTTTTGTTCAAATATAGCTGGTTTCTGGCTTTGGTAACATCATAAACAAGATTTGAACAAAGCATGAACCACTAGGGAAAATGCTTCATGACTAAATTCATAAACTTTGTGGATAGGATTGGAGTCTAAAGACCCTTAATGGAATTGGCCCCTTATAGTGCACCCCAGGTTAACTCATACACACAAATATTAGTACATTTATTGACCTCTACAATGACTTCATTACCTTGTCATTACCGATTTTCATTGCTATGATTATTGTAATTAAAGCTAAATAAAAGGCATTTGACTGCCAAATTATTTAGTCAAAGTGAATCCAACAGATGTTCGCAATCTGTGGCCAATAAATTATTAGTTGGCAAAGCGGCTCCCTGTAGTCACTAATCCCCGGATTCACTGAACAGCAGTGGCCTCTGGTGGTTAGAAATAGAACTGCAAGTACAAGTGCTTTGCCTATGGTTATTCTCCATAAAGAATGAATCAAAGGGATTTGTAAAAAATCCTGTTCAATCTCTTGATGGAACATCATTTTACCTTCTGTTCTCCCTGCAGGAGCTGAGAGTTTGTGGAGTTGTGTGTAAGCAGGCTTTCCAGAAAACCTAAACCAGCACTGGAACAACAGAACGGCGCACCCGACCTGAGAGCTCAAGACAGACATGAACATTGCCCGAGCCTGTGACAGAGAACCCCCTATTGCAATCATCCGTCTTCCCATCCATCCATTCATCCTTCCTTATTTCCATCCATCCTTTTACATTTAATTCCATCAAGACTGTTGCCTTGCCCCCCTCAAACTATCCACAACAGGGGTGATGTAACAAAAAGGAAAACAACTGTTCATCACTGTACTGTAACTCTGTCTCATGTTATATGTGTGTGTACGCATTTGCACTGTGGTAGTTGTGGTAAGCTTTGTGATTAGTGCCTCAATCTCTGATAATGCACTGGACTGATAACTGGGGGTGAACTTGACCAGTACGAAGGAAGGTTTCAATGTAAAGTCAACTAATATTTAGGCCAATATTAATTCAAACACACACATTTTAGGATGCATAAAGAAATGACAAATCTGTATAGAAAAGAGTGAAGTAAAGAATACAAATAAATGTAAGAAGATGCAGTGATCACGTAACCAGGAAAACTGGAGAAGATGCAGTGATCACGTAACCAGGAAAACTAGATCTGAAAAAGACAAGTGGATTGTTAGTGGGATTTATGAAATTTAGTGTAAAAAATAAAATAAAAAATTCAAATCACAGTTGATGTCTCTTTGTATCTGAAAAGTCCACTCTTACCTTTGATCATCCCCAAGGGATTTTAAAAGTACCCTTTCCAAATCCCAGAGACAAGGACAGACCTCTGGAGAGAGACAAAGACAGACAGACAGACAGACAGACAGGTGGAGAGAGACAGAGACAAAGACAGACAGACAGAGATGGAGAGAGACAAAGACAGACAGACAGACAGACAGACAGACAGAGATGGAGAGAGACAAAGACAGACAGACAGACAGACAGACAGAGATAGAGAGAGACAAAGACAGACAGACAGACAGACAGACAGAGATGGAGAGAGACAGAGACAAAGACAGACCGACAGACAGACAGACAGAGATGGAGAGACAGACAGACAGACAGACAGACAGACAGACAGACAGATGGAGAGAGAATAAAAAAGGTGATCACTCATATTGAGTAAACCAATCAAATCAATACAATTTAATCTATAAAGCCCAACAGTTGTCACAAAGTGCTTTACGTGGTCCATTCCTACAAATTCTGGTTGACATAACCAATCAATTAGCAATCCATTAAGCAATATATCAAACAGTTATCATCACCAGCCTTCTCATACTTTAAAACTTTAATTAGCAGCGGTGCTATCTCCTCTCCTCCTTTCTAATGTTCATTTTCTGTCTTTTTCTCCATCTCTTTCTTTCTTTCCTCTCCCTCTTCATTTCCTCTTTAGCTCAAGCTGTCCCTCCATCCTTTTCCCCCTACTTCACCAAATATATTTTCCCCTTAAACCACGTTTTTCCCAAATTTCCCTAAAAACCCTTCCCATTTTTGGGTTCTTTTCCCTTAAAAAACCCCCATTTTCTTTTCCCCTTTTTTTTTTCCCTTTCCCCCCCCCCCATTTTTCCCCATTTAAATCTTTCTACCCCCCCCTTTTTTAAATTTTTAAATTTTTAAATTTTATCTTTTGAATTTCCTTTTTTTTTCCCCCATTTCCCCCATTTTTGCCATTTTATCTTTTTTTTAAATTTTTTCCCCTTTAAATTTTGGGGTTTTTTTTAAAAATTTCAAAAAATTTTTGATTCTTAAATTTTTTTTTATTTTAAATTTCCCTTTTTTTAAAAAATTTTTACCCTTTTTTTTAAAATTTCCCCTTTTAAAATTTTTTAAAATTTTTTAATCTTTTAAAAATTTTAAATTTTTCCCCCCAAATTTTTTTTTTTAATTTTCAAACCCTTTTTTTTTATTTTAAAATTTTTAAATTTTATTTTCCTTTAAATTTTATTTTTTTTTTTTAAATTCTTTAAAATTTCCCATTCTTTTGATTTTTTTCCCCCCATTTTTCCACCCCCCCATTTTTTGGTTTCTACTTTTTTTTTTTTTTTTTTTCCCCAAATTTTTAAATTTTTAAATTTTTTCCCCATTTCCTATTTTTAAATTTTTATTTTTGGGTTTTAAAATTTTTATTTTTTACCCTTTTTGAAATTTTATTTCTAAATTTTTCCCTCTTTTTTTTCCTTTTTAAAATTTCCCCCCATTTTTTCTTTTTTTTTTTTTTCCCTATTTTTTAAAAATTTTTGAAATTCCTATTTTCCCATTTTTGATTTTTACCCTTTATTTTAAAAAAAAATTTTTTTTTTCCCCATCTTTTATTTCCCTATTTTTATTTTAAATTTTGGGAAATTTTTAAAAATTTTTTTTCCCCATTTTTATTTCTTCCCCCCCTTTTTTTTCCCCCATTTTTGGGTTTTTTTCCCTTTTTCCCATTTTTAAAATTTTATTTTATTTTTGTCTCTTAAATTTTCTGTTTCCCCCCCCCAAATTTTTTCTTTATTTTTCCAATTTTCCCTAAATTTTTCCCTTTCCCCACTTTTGCCTCTTTTAATTTTTTTGGTTCTTATTTTTTAAAAAACCCTTTTAAAATTTTTGATCCCCCAAATTTCCCCTTTTTTATTTTCCCTTTTTTTTTAAAAAAAAAAATTTTTTTTTTTGGGTTTTTTTTCCCCCCCAACTTTATTTTCCCCCCATTTTATCTTTTTATTTATCCCATTTTATTTTAATTTAAATTTTCCCCCCAAATCAAAATTTTTCTTTTTAAAACTTTTGGGTTTTGGTTCTTTTTTTTTTTAATTTCCCCCCAAAATTTTTTATTTTTTTATTTTTTTTAAAAATTTTTAAATTTTCCCCCCTTTTTAAAATTTTTTTTTTTTCTTTTTCCCCCCCTTTTTGAAATCTTTATTTTTTTTTTTTTTTTTTTTTATTTTTTTTTATTTTTGGGTTTTTTTTTTTTAAAATTTTTATTTCTAATTTTCCCCCCCCTTTTTCCCTTAAAAATTTTTTTTTAAAATTTTGGTTTTCCTAAATTTTTTTTTTAAAAAACCCCCCCTTTATTTTTAAAATTTTTAAATTTTAAATCTTTGATTTTATCTTCCTAAATTCCCCCCATTTTAAATTTTCCCATTTTTCCCTTCTTATTTTTAAATACTTTGATTTTAATTTTTTTTTTCCCCATCTTTTCCTTTTCCCCCTTTTTTTTTTTTCCCCCCTTTTTTCCCCCTAAACCCTTTTTTTTAAATTCTTTTTTCTGAAATTCCCCCCCATTTTATCTTTTAAAATTTCCCTTAAAATTTTTTTTTTCCCCCCAAATTTTTTGGGTTTTTCCCCCCCCTCTTTTGATTCTCCTCTATTTTCCCCCTTCCCTTTTATTTTCCCTTCCCCCTTCTTTCCCTCCCCTCCCTCCCTCTTTTCCCTTTCCCCTTTTTCCTTCTCCCCCCTTTTCTGATTTCCCCTCTTTCTGCCATCTCTCCTTACAATCTCTTCTGCATCTCTCCTCCCATCTCTTCTGCCAGCAACCTATGCAATACTTTTAGATTTTTCCCTATATTAGGTTTCCAAGACAACCCATGAGTACCATGTCACCCTTCATATGCCTACAATGTTTTGTCACAGTGCTATTGTCATAGAGATATTCATTGTTCTAATTCTATTTAAAAGTTAAACATGACTAATGTAACCATGACAACCCAGAGTATACACAATTCATATACATTCAGAACCCTTGAATCAATAATACTTTCATTTTTACTGCCTCACAAATATGTATCATCATAAGGCATCCATATACAAACAAGTATCCAACCCGTCGGCCTATTTAACGTTATTTTTATCTATGTAATCAAAAGTAAAAACGTTATAGCACGCTGCAGGTGTTTTTGGACAAAATCATTCATAACATTTCCTAAAAACTCATCAACTCCTGACATTACTTGCAGATATTACCAAAACCCAGATGACATCAAACCATTAAAAAAATATTTTGTCCAATTATTTGCTCCCTGATTTAAAGAACTTGCTCTCTATTCAAATGAAAAAGAGGATCATTCCACAAAATAAGTCCCTTTTGAAACTTGGTAAAAATAAATCGGTTTTATTTCACATAATTTTAACATTCTGTCAATTTAATAAAAAACATGTTTCCCCACTATAGTAAGTGCCTATTAAGTGCCAAACAAAATAACAGGGTTGATGATCTCATCTTAAATCAGCCATAAATCCCCTTGTGACAGGAGGAATGGAAGCTTGTTGTGTGCCACGGGGAGGGGCAATTGAATGCAAGCTACAACAAAAATGTTAAATTGTTAAAACATTTCTAGCCTGTCTATCTATGGGTAACAGGGTTGGCTTGTTATGCTCATCCCACTCAGTTTTCCAACACAAAACACCAGAAAATAGCTAAAAAGAGTACAACCAGCTGACCTGCTTTTACACTATGGTTTTAGTATTAGATGTTTTTTTTAAGGAACAGTTTTGCCATATTAAAACGAGAGTTTAATTCACATAACAGGTTTGACCTTAAAAGGGACAGGTTTTTTTAACCTAAAAATGAATCACTAATCACATGAAATAAACAATAATCTCCAGAAATTACTTTGTCAAAGCAGCAAAATAACCAGGGCTTTACAATGATGGTGAAAACGTTTTGGGTTAAGTGGGTTAAAGTCTTCCTAGAAGTCACAGAGGGTGCACATGGGGACATGCCACTTTAGCAAGTCTTTATTCATATTTTTGAATTATACATGTGGTCTATATTAAAGAGAACTTAATGAAATATAACAGGCTTTTAAAATGCAATATTGGTGCCCAATTTCTACTTAAAATATCAAACAGACACAACAGGGGCTCATTTCGTGGAACGACCCAGGAAACTCTCAAAAAGACATAGCGGCCTTCAGCAATGGCTTCTCACTGTAGGGGGAAAAAATGGAGTGGTTGCCTCTTGCTCAGTCTTTCTCTAACTGTCTCTCTCCCTGTCTTTCCCCCACCCCACTTTATCCTCATGGCAACCCCTTTATCACACCAAGCTAACATTTTGGACAGATTCATTCTGGATTCTCAGATCATTGTAAAATTCCCCTCTTTTCTGATAAAGCTATAACTGTGCTTATGGTGTTGGACAATATGGGTTTTCTTTCTAGAAGAGCATAAAGGCACTGTTCTGTTCCAATCAAATCCAGTCAAATATCCTGACAAATACAGTGCCTTCAGAAAGTATTCACACCCCTTGACTTTTTCCATATTTTGTTGTGTTACCGCCTGAATAAAAAAATTATTACATCGAGATTTTTTGTCACTGGCCTATACACAATACCCCATAATCTCAAAGTGTAATTATGTTTTTCGGTATTTTTACAAATTAATAAAAAATTAAAAGCTGAAATGTCTTGAGTCACTAAGTATTCAACCTGTTTGTTATGGCAAGCCTAAATAAGTTCAGGAGTAAAAATGTGCTTAACAAGTCACATAAAACGTTGCATGGACTCACTCTGTGTGCAATAATAGTCTTTAACATGATTTATGAATGACTACCTCATCTCT